GCTTGTCAGGGCTCAACCTCATCAAGGCAGCGCTGGGCAGATCAACCACTCCCCTAGACCACGGTCCTGTCTCCTTGTTCAGGACAGGGAAGAGCTGCCCCTCTCCCGGGGCTGCTCCAGTTTCCATCCCAGACACTTTCTCTTCTCTCTTTTCAGACACCCAGAGCATGTGATGGGAGCACATCTCTCTCTCCTGTTGTCTTCTGCTGGCTTCTGCAGACTGTTAAACAATAGTCAGGGTTTGTGAGATTGGCCACTCCTGAGTGTCTGGGAGCAGCTTGAGCAGCCTGAGCCCTTTGGGATGTACCTGGGTGCTTCCCTGCTCTGCAAGTCACCCTGCTGAGATGCCCATCTCCCCTTTCTGACCTGTAACTCCTTTGAATGGCTAAGCCAGGGGGGGCAGAGGAGGAGCGGGGTGCTAAAGGGAGCGTGGACGTGCAGCCCTGTGCTGCCCACATACATGGGCAAAAAGAGCAGAAGCTTTCAGAACCCCCGGTGGCACTTGTGACCCCCGTGTCCCTCCTCCCCCCCAGTACGGTCTGGTGTTCGACGCGGGCTCCACGCACACGACTCTCTACGTGTACCAGTGGCCTGGGGACAAGGAGAATGGCACCGGCATCGTGTCCCAGGTGGAGGCCTGCACCGTGCCTGGTGAGTGTGTCCAGCCCTCTGGCCCTGCTGCTGGGTCACTGCCCCAGTCTCTCACAGCATTGTCAGTGACCTGAGTCATTTAGCCTGCACTGGGCCAAAGGGAGATGGAAGAACCAAAGTTAATTTTAGGGAGGATAGTTTGCACCTCAGGGAGCCCTGCAGTAGCTGAGGGATCCAAAGGTGGGTAGGGCTCCCAGGTTGGCACAGCTCCTGGAGCCAGTCCAATCTTGCAGCTGGTGGTTGTGCATCAACACACAATGTGGGATGCTGAATGTGCAGTTTGCTCCTTCTCCCATAGACCTGCTTCCTTGGCTGTTCTTTCTACAACATCTATTCACAGCTGCTTTCATAACATGCAACTTCATCTTCCCATGGGGGCTTCTAAAAGTTCTGCAGAAGTCCCTCAACGTTACTGGGCTTCTGCTGGGTTATTGTATGGAGTTCCTAACTGCTCTCTGGGTCAGCAGTTTCCTTTTCAGTATCTATATGGTACCAAACAGCAGAGTTTTGGTCTGTGATGGGGAAATCTGGGTAATTCCAAGGAGGTTTAGAGAGTTCCCTCTGTCTGGGGAATGGGTGCACTGTCCCTCCCGGGTGACACTGAGCTTGCTCCATCATGGGGTGCCCTCTTGCAGGACCTGGCATCTCCAGCTATGCAGATGACCCCGCTGGGGCTGGAGCCAGCCTGAAGCCCTGCCTGGACAAGGCCATGGAGATCATTCCAGCAGAGCAGCAGCAGGAGACCCCCACCTACCTGGGGGCCACAGCGGGCATGAGGCTGCTGAGGTACTGGCACCACCTGGAGCCAAAACCACCTCCCACCCCTTCCCCACCATCGGCTGGGACGGGGGCTGGGGGCATGAGAGGCTGGGGGACTGGGGGCAGTGGGGGCAGAGGAGGTGGGGGGCTGCTGCCCAGGCAGGCCATGGTGATGGGCAGAGCATGCGTGTCTGCAATCCCCCAGGGTGTCCAAGGGAGCTGCTCCCTGTGCCCACAGGGAGACCCCCCAGCCCATTGCAGCCCCGGTCTGGCAGCAGCCCCAGGGGTGGATGAACCTCCTGTGCCAGCCTGGCATTAACCTTCCCGCGTGCTCAGGCACAAGCCCCAGGCAGCATTTTTATGAGACCCCCAAGACAGCAGTGGGGGGATCTGGGGGCTCTGCCCTGTCTCTGAGCAGCCCCGATGCTCTGCAGCAGACGCAGCCTCTTGCTGTCAGCCCTGCACTGAATGCTCCACCCCCTCCTCCTGTGGTGTCTGTCCCCTTCCCTGGCAGGGAGCAGAACAGCACCAAGGCCCAGCAGGTCTTTGCTGAGGTTGCCAAGGCCATTGGCGAGTACCCCGTGGACTTCCGTGGAGCTCAGATCCTCACGGGGAACGAGGAGGGCTCCTTCGGCTGGATCACCGTCAACTACCTGCTGGAGACCCTCGTGAAGGTGAGGGCTGGGGGAGGGGGCAGGCAGGGGATAAGCAGTCTGTGGGTCCCTCTCTGAGCTACACCCAGGTTTCTTCCTTACCAGAGCACAGAAAAATGTAGGTTTAGGGTGCAAATCACCCAAATAAACGCAGCCTGCTCTTGAGAACTGCACGTTCAACTCCACTGGTGCAGACTCAAGGGCCTTTGTGTCCAGCTCAGCATGGCCCTGTGCTCCCTACTCACATATGGGTCAGTGTGGGTATCGGGAATATTAGAGCCCAGGTGAACATGTTACTCTTCCCCTCCTCAAATCCCAGGCTTGAACCTGATGTGCACTAGCCAAGGGACAGGGCTGGGTGCTTCACGGAGCTGTGTGTGGGTGAAGGAGGACATGGGCAAAGAGGGCTTAGGCAGGGAGATGGGACATGGAAGGTGTCTCAGGGGCTTCTGAGTCCACAAAGCCTTGAGGGGAGGGCCAGGAACTGTGGCTCCTTCCAGTTCAGACTAAGACTTTCTGTCTTCTGGGGCCAGTTTTCCTTTGCAGAGAAATGGGAACATCCCCAGGACACGGAGGTTTTTGGAGCTCTGGATCTTGGAGGCGCCTCAACACAAATAACCTTCCAGCCTGGAGTCACCATTGAGGACAAGAACACGTCTGTCTTCTTCAGGCTGTACAGCACCAACTACACACTCTACACCCACAGCTACCTCTGCTATGGGCAGACACAAGCCTTGAAGAGGCTGCTGGCAGCTCTTCACCAGGTACCAGAGCCACAGGTCACCAGGATCAGCTCAACCATTTCCCGCTGCCTTGAAAAATGTCTTCCAAAAATTAGGGGCATGCCCATGGAAAAAGCATTAGGGAACGAGCTGGGAGTTTTCACAGGCTGAAAAACCTGAGAAAGACTTGGATTTCATTTAGTGCACCAAAACCTTTTCTCCACTGGGTGGCAGGTGGTGGTGGTTCCCTGCCTGGGCTCCCTTCTCCCCAGATGTTGAGATGTAGTGGCATTTCTCATCCCTTCCCAAGCCCAGCCGTACCCTTTGGTTCTGCCCTGTCCCCTGAGACATGGGCATGAAGTGTTCCCTTGGCTGGGTGGTTTCCAGGTTTTAGCTTCATTGAAACCCAAGCGGTTTGAAGGCCACCAAGTCCTCCACAGGAGAACAGAAAGAAGAGGGAGCCCAGTCACCCAGGGCCATGATCTGGCACCTCCTGGCTGGGGTTATGAAGCCTTTGGTCTTTACCCCCTAACTAAGCAAGCAGGTGTGGCAGAGGCCTGAGAGTCCCCACAGCTCAGTGCAGAGGTGATAGAGAGCCGTAGATGGGGACTAAATTAACTCCCCCTTCCCACATTTCTGCCCAGAGCAAGGATCCCCCAGCCCCTGCACACTGCTCCACCACTCCCCGTGTCCCCCCGTCCCGCTGGGGTAGAGGGCACAGCCCAGCACTGCAGCAGGTGGGGGTGCTGGGGGCTGAGCAGGCACCTCTGGTCCTTTCTGGGCGAGGGGCTGCGAGATGTGGTGGGGACAAAGAGAATGCCAAGAGCAGGGAGCTCCCTGCAGGCAGGGAGCAGGTTTCCAGCCCCATGGGGAGGCGTGGGCTGGACATGGCATCCCCAGCCCAGTGGTGGAGCTGCCAGCAGGGCCAGGAGAAGCCCGAGGCAGGTTAGTCGTGCAGAGGGTGGATCCTGCTTCTTCTCAGATCCTCCTCGGGATCCTGTTTTTTGGGGCTGTCTAAGCTGTGGGTCTTGCTGGCAGCCCAGGCCAAGCCCTGCTAACAGCTCCTGCTGTCCCCAGGGCAGCCGGTCTCCCCAGCAGGTGTCTCACCCCTGCTACCCCAGGGGATACCAGGAGAACATCACCATGGCAGATCTCTACAACAGCCCCTGTGTCCAGGCACCGAGCAGCCCTAGCCCTGTGCAGAATCTCACGGTGACAGGCACAGGGGACCCAGCAGCATGTGCCATTGCCATCCGGGAACTCTTCAACTTCAGCTGCGAGGCCAGCAGGACGTGCGGGTTCAACGGGGTCTATCAGCCGCCTGTGCGGGGACAGTTCTTTGTAAGGAGCCTCCCTGCCCCGGGCTGGGGGGCAGGTTGGTGGGTTTTGGGGCACCAAAGCCTGGCCAAGAATGCAGGAAAACAGATGAAGGAGAAAAGTCTGAGTAGTACCCACCCTGAAAGCTGGGATGTGCCTGATGCGTGGAGGCGGGTTCAGTGCTCACCAGCTCAGCCCCTGAGCTCTCCTGTCACGGCAGTGATCTCTTTTGGTGGGGGGGCAGTCCCAGGGGTCCCTCCCAGGGGTCTGTAGGCATCATCTTGTGGTGCTGATTGGAGAGGTGGCATCCTTAGACCAAGGACAGAGTGGTGGGATAGTGGTGGGAGCTGCAGTGCTTCACTAACCTGCCACCTTTGGTCTCAAAACACCCACAGGCCTTTTCGGGGCTTTATCACAATCTTCGCTTTCTGAACCTGACTGGGGGGCAGTCCCTGAGCTTCGTCAATGCCACCATCTGGCAATTCTGCAGGAGCAGCTGGGAGAAGGTGAAACACTACTAGGAGACCCAGCCCCTGCCCACATTTCTCCTGGGTGGTGGGCAGCCTGGGGCTCCTCTGCAGCCCATCTGCTGCACACAGGGTGGCTGGAGGGGGCTGGTGGGAGCACAAAGATCCCTGGACAGGGAGAGAGATGGGAGAGCAGCCTGAAGCGTCCCAGGTCCTCCTTGCTCCCCAAGCCCTGGGGACCCTCCCACTCCTGGGTCATTTCTCCCAGCTGCGCCATGGGGCACTTCCCCACAGGGTGTGGGCCCCGAGCCCTGCTCCAAGCTGGAACCCCCCTGCCTCTCCACCTCTGCAGGTGCAGAAGAAGTTCCCCACCACGATCAGGACCCACCTGCGTGATGCCTGTGCAGCCAGTTCCTACACCCTCACCCTTCTCCTTCAGGGCTACAGATTCAACCGCACAAAGTGGCTCAACATCCACTTTGTCCAGCAGGTAGGGAAGTGCCCGGCAGCCCCCCAGCTTCCATGCTTGGTGCCATGAAATGCCTCATGCCCACCTACCCCCTGCTCCTGCCCTGCCTGGGTGGGGGATCAGGGGATTTTTAAGGTTCCTTCCCACCTAAACCATTCATGAATCCAAGATAACAGGGCAGCCCATGCCCAGGGCAGCTCTTGAGTTGTGATCACAGGCACCTGCTGGGACATCTGGCCTGGGCCATTTGTGCTCTCCCCAAGCTTGTCTCACCAAAGGAGTATCTGTAGCCCCAAGGTCTGCACAGCTACAATGGCTGTGGAGCAGGACCTGGGGGTGCAACAGCAAATGTCTTCTATAGCTCTCCAGCTTGCCTGGTACTGCTCAGCTTTTCACATCCCTCTACCTTCTTTGTCTGCACAGGTTGCTAACACAGACATGGGCTGGACTCTAGGCTACATGCTCAACCTCACCAACATGATTCCCTCAGAGACTCCCCAGAGAGTCACAGGGCTCCAGAGGAGCAGTTGGATAGCAGCCACAGTCTTGCTGGCCATCATGCTTGTCCTCATCTTCTGCCTGCTCACAGTCACATGCTGCCAGGAAAACTCTGGTTACGAGAGGCTCTAGAAGCTCTGGCTCCAGATGCTGCCAAAGCCACTTCCTCCTGCTGCAGGAGTGTAGGACCTGCAGAACAGGGAATTGTCCCCCCGTGTCCAGGAGCTGTGAACTTGTGATGTGGGTCATCTATGTTCCAGCCTGATGAGCTGGAACCCAGCACAGGCTTTAAAAAATCCTCCCTGGAGCTGTCTGCTGTCTGGTTTTCCTTTCCTGTCACTGCTGGTTGGAGATGCTCTGGGAGGGGGACATTGCCATGTGGGGCTGGGGCTCAGCACTGGGGGCATGGGGACCACAGTGATGTGGGGCAGCTGGAGGTGGTGGGTGAGGGAAGGGGGAAGGAGTGTTTGGCAGCAGTGGGATCATTACAGGGCTAGTTACAGCCTGCAGCAGATAACCCATGTGGGGTGGATGTGTCCCGCCCCATCCCGGGGCAAGGGTCTGCATCACCCATGGCCAGCACCAGCCTGAGGGGCAGCAGCCCTGGGGGCTACAGGGGGAGCTGGGATGGTGGATGGGACTAGGGACCCTGTGAGGGGGGGATGGCAGCAGCCCCTACTCTCCTGCATGAGGTTCCCCTCCAGTCCAACTGCACCCTGTGTGCCTGGCAGGCAGCTTGCCCACCCTTTCCAGTACTCAGTGATCTGGGAATGCTGCTGGGACACACCAGGGGCAGCTCCTGGGATCTCCCTTACATTTCTAGAGAGTTCCACCGGCAGCCAGGGGATGGATGAGGTGAGACACCCCAGCTCCCACAAGAAAAAGTGATGTCCTCATGCCCTGCTGGCTCCTCTCCAACACCTGGCAGATGCTCCGATGTCTCCAGGGCATCTCCAGTAGCACTGTGTGATGTTGGCTCTTCCCAGAGCTGTCATCAGCAGCCCTTACATGGGGGATGGAATCAATACGATTGTAACTGCAGTATTGTGTCCAGTTCTGGGTTCCCGAGTTCCAGAGGGACAGGGATCTACTGGAGAGAGTCCAACAGAGGCTACAAGGATGATGAAGGGACTGGAACACCTGCCTGATGAGGAAAGGCTGAGAGACCTGGGGCTGTTCAGTCTAGAGAGGAGAAGACTGAGGGGGGATCTAATTAATGTCTATAAATACACGGGGACATCAAGAAGGCAGGACAAGCTCTTGTCACTTGTGCCCTGGGACAGGACAAGGGGCAATGGATTCAAACTGGAGCCCAGGAAGTTCCACCTGAGCATGAGGAAGAACTTCTTTGCTGTGAGGGTGACAGAGCCCTGGGACAGGCTGCCCAGAGAGGCTGTGGAGTCTCCTTCTCTAGAGACTTTCCAGCCCTGTCTGGATGCCTTTCTGAGCAACCTGCCCTGGTTTTGGTCCTGCTCTGGCAGGGGGGTTGGACTCGATGGTCCTCGGAGGTCCCTTCCAACCCCTGCCATTCTGTGGTTCTGTGGTTCTGTGACTGTAACTGTTCAGGAGCAAAGTAACAGGAGTCTCCCCGTCCCCTGCCTTTTACAGCCTTTATTTGGGTGAGCTGAGCTGCCAGACGCCGCCGTCCTGCTGGGACACCAAAGGTCAGCACTGGGCTTCCGGGAGGCAGATAACCCAGTGAATCATCCACGAGGCAGAGCAGTGAGCAGAACCAAAGGCAAGGCAGGGCCCAGCTCAGCCATGTGCACAGGGCAGGACTGGGTGTTTGGGCATCTGCTGGTGTCTCCAGGAAGACACTCAGGAATGCTGATTCCTTTATCCCAGGAGAAAAAGAAGATGATGGGAGGGAGAGGAGAGGAGAGGAGAGGAGAGGAGAGGAGAGGAGAAGAGAGGAGAA